ATGCAAGGAAGCCCATGATGAAAGTTGAGCCTTATACTTTCTCTAAAAAAAAAAGTTTACAAAAAAAGGAAAAAAAAAAGCCTAATACCAAAAAAGGGGCCTACAACTAGCAACTAAGTGGAAGGACAAAAAAAACCAGCAAAACAAGATAAAAGAGCCGTATAGCAAGAACGAAATGGGAGGGCAAAAAAGCCTTCCACTATTCATTTTCAACAGTTACTGTTCCTAAGTTATAGTAGGAGATTTCTCATGTTTTAATAAAATTACAAAAACAAAAAATAAAGGGTTTTAGATTATTTGCTAAGTGGAGAAAGGGTGTCATATGGCCATAAGCAAACCAAGGATACATAGCTACGTGCATTTTCTTGTTATTTTCTATCTCACTCAATCTCATCTAACTTTGGTTCAGCTTAGCTTGTTTAATTTGATGATGTGTACTTGATTGCGTTAAAGCCTCATTTATAAGGAAACCTTAGAAACTTCTTCGGTGCTCAAGTTGTGCAAGGAATCGGACGTTATCACGTTATAAGTAGAGGTGTCAATCTAGGTATTTAGGTCGGGTCTGGTGAGATCGAGTCGGGTATATTTCAAAGTTAAATCATGTTAAATTATTGTGTCCATACGAGGGAGTCAAAATCTAAATCGAGTTTTCTTTTTTTTTTTTTTGGATTAAATCTGGTTGGGTCGGTTAGGTCATCAGTTTTTGACACCTTTGGTTATAAGCACCTTCTTATACTTAATTACTCCGTTTAGATAAAGCCGAATCCCGCAGCCAAATAACAAAATATATATCAACAATTAACATTTTAACTATTCACCAAATTTTGCGCCATATAGGCGATAATTATTTCATGTGTGGTGGTGCTAACAATTGTGCATGTGGTAGTGTTAATGGTCGTACGATGGTGGTGCTAATGGTCGTTCGGTGGTGCAGTGGGTGGTGCGGTGGCAACGGTGATGGTCTGATGGTGTAGATAGAGAGAGAAAAGGGGATATGGCTGAGAAAATATAAAATTATCCTTGATATTAACTTGTATTTTCTCGGATGCAAGTGTCTTTCAAGATTATGCATGTGCCACGTATATTAAAAACAAACACTGTGTTAGGATACCTAATGCAAGGAGGGAAGGGGAGGGAATTGAAATGATCCATTTTCCCATTCTTTTTAATAAACCAAATCTCTCCAATATATATTGGAAAGATTTGGAAGGAAAATGGAATGTGACCTTCTCCCTTCCTTCACTTCCCTTTCCCTTCCCTCTTTTTACTTCCCCTCCTTTTCCCTTTGTTATGGTTATCCAAACATAGTGTAAGGCCCTGTTCAGTTCACCTTATAATATTCAGTAAAAATAATTTCAGTTCAACAAAAATAAGTTCTGTTCAGTAAAATTAATTTTGGTTCAGTAAAAATAATTTCAGTTCAGCAAAATTCAATAACTCTAAAGAAGAAATATAATAGAAAATTGATTAAAAATGATTTTAGTTCAGCAAAATTAATTTCAGTTCAGTAAAAATAATTTCAGTTCAGTAAAAAATTAATTTAAGTTCAGCAAAAATAATTTCAATTAGCAAAAATAAGGTAAAGTGAATGGGACCTAAGTATTCTTTCCAACGAACTTATTTAGTGATTTATTTGTTAGTATATGGTAACAAACTAACAGCTCAAAATGCTAAAAGAGCATAAGTGATTGAGTTGGTGAATTCTGTATAATTAATGGATGAATCGAAATTTCGTATACTATAAAATTATCCACCATAAGCATAAAGCTGAAATTAAAGTTTGAGGCTCTAATCAAAAGTATAAAGCTAATCAAGCAAGAATCGGATACAGCATTTATGATAAATATGCATGTGTTTCGCAACATATAAATATTCACTAATCAGTAATGTACGTAGTATATGGAATATCGTTCCTCAAAAAAAAAAAAAAAAATAGTATATGGAATATCGAATCACTTAATTCGAACAAAAGATTATTTCAAATTGTTAGCTCCATTATTTCCAAATATTCGCTTTTGTTTTTTTGTGTTTTTTAAGCTTATGCGTTTGATTAGGGGGAAAAAAATTAAAAAAAAAAAAGTCCTAAAAAAGGAAAAAAAAAAAAAAAAAAAAAGCACCATTTTTTTCTTATAAATTGTTTCCGTTAAGCAAAAAAAGTTATTCTCTTACTCTTCTGGTTTTTTTTTTTTTGTTGCACACGCAAAGAAATCAAATATTAAATTAGGGAGGAACAAAATGTGGCCACTCCAACAATATCATTATAAATACGTCCTAAAGCTAAGTGGGGACTTGAATCAACTCGAATTATTGTTCTGAATTACTCCTTGATTAGCTAGTCAATCCGCCGCTTGGTTTATTCTTTTGTAATTGGTAGACAATACATATTTGCAAAATGATAAAGATCACAAATGGCACAATCTTATGTGGTGGATGATGTGTCTAGTTTTGGATATGAGGTGTCAGTTGAGTAAGGGAATGAATATAGGGATTCATAACATAAATAAACATTTAAAAATGTATAAAGCAATAATTTGGTGCACAACCCACCCTCCCCCCTCCCTTTCCAGCCCATCGAAACATCCTTCCCTTCCCCCATCACCAACCTCCCTTCTTGTCCCCCTGGACCGAAACGAGGGAGAAAAGGAGTGGTTTCGAGCTAGGGTTGGGTTGGTTTCGGGACTAGTGTTGGGGAGGGGTTGATTTAGTAGAGGCTAGGAAAGGGGTGAGGGGGTGGTATTCGGGTTTGGGATGGGAATGGGGTTGATTTTCTTTGGTGGTGGGGAATGGGGTTACGGTGGTGGTAGTGAGGAGTAGGCAGGGTCGAGAGGAGGGTTTCAGTGGTGGTTGTAGGGAGTGGCCTGGGTGATGCAGGATCAATAATCCAATATGGGTTTTCTTGAAAATTTATGGAGTTTTTAGAAAGCCTACACTATCTTTTAGTTATTATTAATTATTAGGATTTTGCAATTGGGTTTTTAACTTTCACTTGAAAGAATTTTTCCTATTTTTAGGCTTTAAGAGTTTTACTTATTAGGAGATTTAGTAGTTGATTACAAATATGATTAGGAGATTTATTAGGATTAGGATTCTTAATATTATATCTTATTTTAGGATATGATTATTACTTTCCTATCTTATCTTTGTACGATTTTTCACCCTATAAATATGGGTGCATATCAATAGTGATTTTTAATGAATGAAGAGAGATTTGTTTTGGGAATTAACCCTTTGAGCGTTGCTCGTTTGATTGTTAATAAAAAACATCACTTGTTGCGACTCGTGATCATCTTCTAGTTATGACTAGGAAGATACCCTTTATTCTTGCGAGAATTAGAGTACTATCCTTTTTATCTTCATGTAATTTCTTTAGTTCTTGTTAAAATTTGAAGATCCAATGTTATTATAGCTTGCGAGCCTTGTGAGTATCTTGAGATATCCACATCATAATGGTATCAGATTTTCAGGTTTTGTGAGTCCTTTTGGCACTTACACGATCTTGTCGTGTTGGTTTCAGGTTTTGATGGTGGTTGTGACTCTTGTGAGTAGGGAGGGTTTTCATTGTGCGTGTGGGGATTAGGGTGGCCGACAGTGGTGGATGAAGGGGGGAGCATTTCGGTGGTGGTTTCAAGGAGGGGTGGTCGGCATTGGTGGAAGATGAAGGTGGTTAGGTGGCTGGGTTTTTTTTTTTTCAATAATTTTAATTACCTTTTTTACTTATTAGTTGTTGTCGTGTGTCCAAGTTATTTGTTATTCCTAGTAGGTGACCGGTGGGTCTAATTAAAGAAAATACCCCATACAGTTTAGATTATCCATTAATTATTCAAATTTGGAATTATAAAAGAAAATCGGTCAAAGTTGATTTATTAAATTTTTCGAACAAAAAAGGAAGAGAGGGAGTTCAATAAGGTTTAGAATGTATAAAGCAATAATATGTTCGGTATATGTCATGTTATTTACGTTAGTCTTTGGTCTCTTGTTTAATTCGATCAAGTGCAGGAGTTGCTTTGATAGTCATGCATTTGCTCAATTGTGTTGTTGATTAATTCAAGCTTAGTTGGAGTAATTTTAGGAATATTGTTTTAGTGTTTCGGTTAAGTATGTAGTGGAATATCTATTTGTTGTTACTGGGTCAAATTATAGTTGCATTAAAATAGGATATGGTGGGTTATGTTTCCATCATTTTAGCTTTAGTTGTTTATCTCTTCTTCTCTATTTAAGTAGTGCAGTACGTTAGTTTGTGGGTGTGCAAGTGAATAAAGTCAATTTTGTTTCTCCATTATTATTATTCTTCTGCTTTAGTATTAGCTTCAACAAATTGTTGGTCACAAAGTTTGCTTTATTGATGCAAAAATTAGAATAGGGAACAACACATTGTCCAGAACTCCAGGGTAGAGACAACGAGCAAAGGGGAAAGATCCAATAATTGAATGAAGAGAAATATAAACATGAATGATCAGAAGAAAGTGAAAATTACTAAGCAACACTCTTAATTTATGTTATGGTGCGATGAGTTTCTATACACGTTTCTTTAATTTGTATGCCTGGATTATGAATTGTTTGAAAACATCAATGGATAACTTGATGGAAACAACAATGAAGAAAATATCATTATATCATTGGTAATCTTAATCCACCAAAAATATATTATACAACTTTTTAAATTAAATTAAATAAAAGTTATCATTACATAAAATAATTTATATGGAGTACAAAGTAAAATTATTAGATTATGTTTCCTAAATTTTATTAATTGATGTAAAAGATAAAATGAAAAAATATACACCATAATATACTACGGAGTAATTTCTTTAAGTGGAAAGCTAAACGTCGCAATCGAATCTCTAACTAACGGCCGCAAAATAACCTGAAATGACGTAAGTAGCCTTATCGTAGTAGATCGAAAAACTGGAGGTAAAAGAAGGTGGTGGTGGGTGGTTAAAAGAGGAGGTAGTGGTGGTGGTGGTTTAGAGAGAGAATTGTTTTTAAGAGAGAGAAGAGGGAGTGAGGATTTGGGGGGGGTAAATTTTTTTTTTTTAATATAAGGATAAATTTGTAAAATATATTTTATTTTACCGGCGTTAATTGGAAGTTCAAGGGCGATATTTAACAACCCTTTTCTTTAAAATTACCATAAGCCATCACACCAGTAATTTATTGGAAATGAGTCAATTTTTTATTTTTATTTTTATTTTTTTATTTTTTAAATTTAATTTATTTTTTGTGTTACAAATTGCTTAAGCATCACCCTATATATTAAATCTATGAATCATATCACAAATTCACAATAGGTCTAGAGAACTCATCATGTCTTCAATGAGTAATGTTGAACCTCAAAATCTTCATGTAATCTTTTTCCCAATGATCGGGCATGGTCATATGATCCCAATGTTAGACATAGCAAAGCTATTTTCCAGCCATCAAGTCAAGACCACCATAGTCACCACTCCTCGCAACGCACCAACTTTTACAAAACCACTAGAGAGCTATCGAAATGTCGGCCCGAAAATCGATATAGAGATCATTCCGTTTCCCTCCAAGGAGACTAGCCTTCCTGAGGGAGTTGAGAATTTCGAGTACGCAACTTCCCCGCAACTCGTGGCCAAACTGTGGAAGGCAACCTTGTTGCTACAAAAACCGCTCAAGGAAGTGTTAGAAAAATACAAGCCTAATTGCTTGATTGCGGACAAACTATTCCCATTTGCAACCGAAGTTGCAGCCGAATTCAATATACCAAGGTTAGTGTTTCACGGGACAGGCTTCTTTTCGCTATGTGCATTAGATGCTATAACGAAATTCGAGCCTCATAAATCGATTATTTCTGATGAGGAAGAGTTTGTTATCCCTCACCTTCCACATGAAATAAAATTGACAAGATTGAAATTGCCCCAACATATTAGAGAAAATAATAATAATAATAATAATAATAATGAGTTGGTGGAATTTCTTAAAAGTGCTGTTGAATCAGAGGCAAAAAGTTATGGGGTTATAGTGAATAGCTTTTATGAACTAGAACAAGATTATGCTGATCATTATAGGAAGGTTATGGGTAGAAGGGCATGGCATATAGGTCCGGTTTCGCTATGTAATAAAGAAAATGAAGCTAAATTTTATAGGGGAAAGGATTCTTCAATTGATGAACATGATTGCTTAAGATGGCTTGATTCTAAGAAGGAAAGTTCGGTTATGTACGTATGCTTTGGCACCTTGTCCATGTTTTCGACGTCTCAGCTTCGTGAGATAGCAATGGGACTAGAAGCCTCGGGGCAAGAATTTATATGGGTGGTGAAAGGGAGCAAGGATAATGAAACGGAAGAGTGGCTGCCTAAGAAAGGACTAATTATAAGGGGCTGGGCGCCACAAGTGTTAATATTAGATCACAAGTCGATAGGAGGATTCGTGACTCATTGTGGGTGGAATTCGATTCTTGAAGCCGTGTCTTGTGGGATTCCTATGGTCACTTGGCCTATATTTTCGGAGCAATTTTACAATGAGAAATTGGTAACAGAGATTTTGAGGATTGGGGTTGGTGTAGGGGCAAAGGAATGGAAGAGAACCGTGGACGCGAATGTAAAATCGGAAGATATACATGAGGCCATAAGAAGAGTAATGGTTGGTGATGAAGCTTTAGAGATGAGAAGCAAGGCTAAGAAGCTAAAACAAAAGGCAAGGTTGGCTATAGATGTTGGAGGTTCATCTTACTCTGACTTGAGTTCCTTGATACACCAACTGCGCTCTTATCACTTGACCCAATAACATCCTTACATTGCATGTATGCCTATTTAAAATTCTTGAGTGATTGTGTGAGTGTTTGTGTGTGGGTTGAGTTTACACACGTGCATGTGCGCGCTTGCTTGTATGTTCGTCTTACAGTTTGTAATAACACTTGTATTAGTTGTTGCAACCGTTGTTACTACGGTGGTTTTTTTTTTTTTTTTTGTCTTAATCATACTTTGCTCACGCGAGCGGAGGCAAATCCAAGAATTAGTGAAAATTAAATTACATAGTACACCAGGTGACCAGAGTGTACCATGCTCATGGTACAGTTGGTGTTAAACGTTGTGTTTTAATTTATATATTAAAATCCATGTAATTTTTTCCTTATAAGTTTATTTATTTTTTTAAATATTTAATAACAGCTCAAGGAGCTAAAAGAAATGAGCATGAGTGATTGAGTGGGTGAATTGAACTATGTATAATTAATGGAAGATATGAATGTATTGTTTGATTGCACACAATAAAAATTGGGAATTGAAAATTCATGTGAATTGGAAAAAAAAGGATTTGTTTGGTTGACCATAAAAAGTAAAAAGTGGGAAATGCAAATTTATGGGAATTTCCAATTCCCATAAAATGTGGTAATCACCATGCGCATGATACACCTAGGAAAAAACGACATCCGCTTCTTCATAAAACGCAAGCACCAAACAAGCTTAAAAAAAGCGGAAAGAACATCATGTTAGTAAATAATGAACATGCATATTCTAAAGAACATCAAGTTAAGATAAAAAGAACGCAAGAATTTCTTAGCATAAATCTTTAATTACGGGAAAATATATACCTATGGCTCACATTAACTAATAAAATCTTTTCAAATTTTATCATTTTCCAAAATAAGTTTTTCTCTCTCTTTAAAATACAGTTTCTCATAATTATTTTCTCTCTCTAAATTTAAAATATCAAAAGAACGTTTTGTCAAAAACTACATAATAAAACTCAAATTTTGGGAGAAACTACCTAATAATAAAAATGTTGTAATAAACTACCTAACAACGGAAAAATGTTGTAAAATACTACCTAAAAAAGGTAAAAATGTTGTAAAATACTACCTATATCGGATTTCCACCGTTAACCGACCTCAAAACACTCTCGAATCCACCGCCTTCATTCCCAAAACTAACGTTACTTGCTTGAAATCTCCTCCACCACACCTAAACCACCTTTCGACCCCAAAACCACCACCTCTAACCCAAAAAACTACCATCCCGAAGCACTAAAATCCACCCTCACCAACTCAGAATATCCTCCAACGACCCCGAAATAACCTTAACACCTTGAAAACCAACTCTCACGGTGATTTCGGGGTTGTTTTAAGGTGGATCAACGTCTTAAAATGAAGTCAATGCTATAGTGGAAATTTGGTCAAAAGTAGTATCTTACAACATTTTACCTTTTATTAGGTAGTTTCTTACATCATTTTCTTTTATTAGGTAGTTTCTCACAAATTTAGGTTTTATTAGATAGTTTCTCACAAAAAGTCCTTTTCAAAATTCAGTTTCCAAATATTTTATTAAAAATATTGCCAGAACTACCCGCCTAATAGGTCATTTTATCAACAACTAGTCGCTTAAAATTTTTATCAAAAAAGCTACCCTCTAAATTTAAAAAGTTTGACTGGCACTACCTATTTTGATTTTTCGGCAACAAAATCCAGTAAGTAGGGCTCGCTTTTGTTTTTCCTTCCAAAACTTAAACACGAAATGATGAATCTCACAATTAAGAAGCAAAAAACAAGTGAATTGAACATCAATTTAGAAGCATTACATATCTCTTAATTAAAACCACAATTACTTTCCCCTTCTTCACAGTACTACATTTTTTACCTAATGCCACGGCTAAAATATGGCTATTGCAACGGTCTTTTTTATTATCGTTGTAATAGCATAGGCTAATGCAACGGATTCAGCTCTAATATTCTAAGAGGAAGAGCTAATACAACGGCTCTAAAGAACCGTTGCGTTAGCCTACCTATTTCAACAATCAACAAAGCTAATGCAACGGTACGTAATGAAAAATTAGATGGCACCGAAATTTTCATGACTTCCCTCTACTTTTACCCCTAAAATTTAAAACCCCAAAGCTGCTTTACTCGCTTCTCTGAACTCAACCCTTTTTCTCACATTTTGGCACTACACCCATTTTCCCCCAATTCTCCATTTTTGAAGCCCTAAATTACTATAGGAAAATTATTGAAAAATTTCTGAGAGGTAAATTAAACAAAGAAATCTGAGCAAGTAGACGAATTGAAGGCGGCACTCAAGCGGTGGCTGATTGCTTGAATTACAGGCGGTGGTTGCGAGTTTCAGGCGGTGGCTGCGAATTTCAGGCGGTTCCGACAAATCCCATTTTCATCTTGCATGTTCCTGCCTTGTGGTTGATTGCTCGTGTTGCTGTTTAAGGTATACGTCATAGTTTTGTTTTTGAGATTGCTTAATTAAAATTTTTGTTGTTGCACGGTGGTGTTAGGGTTAGGGTTCCACCACGGAACCACTCCAAAACCCACCTTCGTTGACGAATTAGGGTTTTTTTTATATATATTAATTTGATTTTTCTTGTTTGCTTTGGTTGTAGTATATTTGATTTGTGTCCATTTACTTGTAGAATCTGATTTGTGTTCATTCACTTGTAAAATATGATTATAATTCACTTAAACCTGATAAATTTTAATCGGATTATTTTACATTAATGTGACTGTTACTGAAATTTTAAAAATAAAAAACTTAGGGTTTATGGTTAATTAATTGAAACTATATTAAAAAAAAAATAGGTGGAAGGCATACCTGCTAGTCAGTGGGTGGTCTAAGTCGTTGGGTGGCCGACGGGTGGGTGGTCTGAGGTGGTGGATCTAGGCGGCTGAGCAATTAAGGGTTAGGGTTAGCAATGTTTTTTGAAAAACGAAAAAAAAGGAGAAACCATTACCTGGTGGTCGGTAGCCGACGCACGAAGGACGGCTGAGGGGAACGGAGGGTGGTCGGCGAAGGGTGAGTGGCGGCCGGTAGGACCTACTCTCTCCTTCTCCTACTTATTTTGTTCGACAAAAAATAGAAATTAAACCAGAACCCTAAAATTACAAAATTGAAAACCAAATCAACGACAAACCCTAGGTTGCGAAGGAATTCGGTACATTAAGAAGACCACAATGGCCCAAATCTTACCTCGAAGCTGCTTCAATGGAGGTGAGAAAACTCAGAATGCGCTTCAATGGAGAATAGAGAGCACGATTTCAATGGAGGAGAGATATGGAGAGAGAAGGAGGTGCATGCAGCTGCTTCAATGGAGTGAGAGAGCTAAAAAATGGCTTCAATGGAGAAGGTGGGAATTCGGAGGTGGTGGCCTGGAAGAGAAGGTGAGAACGAGGGAAAAAATTGAGTTGAAAAAACAGGGGGAAAGAAAATAAGAAGAAGAAATACAAGCGGGTTTTTTTTTTAAATGGGCACCAGTTTGAACCGAACTGGTGCCAAATCCCTTTCTCCCCTTTTTTTTAAAAAAAAAAATCTTTTTTTTTTGGCACCGGTTTGAACCGGTGCCAAAAAGATAATTTGCCACCGGTTTGGCTGGAACTGGTGCCAAAAGCTTGTTTTCTAACCCCGCCCGTTTTTTTTACCACCGGTTTTCAAAAACCGGTCCCAAAGGTGGGGTGCCTTTGTCATTTTTTCTACTAGTGCTTGAGTTTGTCTCTGGGCATCAATTGCAGCTTCATATCTCAAGTAAAACTCAACAAGTGACACATGAGGATTGATAAAGGAGCAGAAAAAGTTGTTTTCACTTTCAGATCTTGATGTTGTACGCATTATTCCTCCAAGGAACACATCTCTGAAATACGCCAGTATCCACTTGTCCCTTATCTTGTACATATAACCTAACCACTCATGATCTTCCAAGTGGTATTCAACCATCACCTTGTTCCACCTTTCTTCAAACTCAGCGGGTTCAATTTCAAGATGCCAAACGCAAGCACATATATTTTTTAGGAAACCAGTTTCTTCTTGCATGATTGATTTCTACACCTTATCTGGTAACTTTTTCATTATGTGCCACATACAGAACCGATGTTCAGTCTTCTTAAACACACTTTTAACAATTATTTTCATTGCTGGATCCGATCCGTGATCATACAATTAGGTTCATTCCCACCCATTGCCTTGAGAAATGATCTGAACAACCACTCAAATGACACAATATCTTCCTTTGCTATGAAACCAGCAGCAAAAGTAATGCAGCTCTTATAATGGTCAACCCCTGTAAATGGAGTAAACACCATGTTATACCTGTTTATACATACAGATGAAATTTTAAATGAGTAAATAATTCAATGCTCATTTGTGAAATAAACAAACAATTCTTTGCTCTTTTGTCAAATGAGAAAATAATTGAATGCTCATTTGTCAAATGAGCAAATAACTCAATGTTCATTTGTGAAATAAACAAACAATTCTTTGCTCTTTTGTCAAATGAGCAAATAATTGAATGCTCATTTGTCAAATGAGCAAATAACTCAATGCTCATTTGTGAAATAAACAAACAATTCTTTGCTCTTTTGTCAAATGAGCAAATAATTGAATGCTCACTTGTCAAATGAGCAAATAACTCAATGCTCATTTGTGAAATAAGCAAACAATTCTTTGCTCATTTGTCAAATGACAAAATAATTCAATGCTCATTTGTCAAATGAACATGCAATTCAATGCCCATATACATACTCTTATCAAAGAAAATTAGACTTATGGGGATATTTACTTTTCAAATTGAAGTAAGCAAACAATTATAATAAGTTCATTTAAAACAAAGTCATTAAGTTAAGCTATAGTTATAACATAGAAATGAATTGTGATTATTATATATTACCTATTGGTTTGGTATGTGGTATCAAAGGATACCATATCACCAAATAGAGCATAACTCTCTTTACAAAGGGGGTCTGCCCACAGTGCTCTACAAAGGCAATAATCTTCATCCATCTCAAAATCAAAGAAAAAAGCACTCCACATTAGCTTTTTGTTGGTAAAATTATCCACAAACATTTGAGCATCGCTTCCTTGAATGTATGCTTTTAAATCTCTATGAAAATTTTTGAAATCTTGCTTAGATGCACCAATGTTATCATATCCTCCAACAATTTCCTTCATAATTCGAAAAGTTGTAACGGGACCAATATTCACCTATTTAAAGAACAAAACAGTTTGTCAATTGAGCAAACAATTTAATTCTCATTTTTCAAATGAACAAACAACTTTTATTAAAACATATAGAGAATTCATGAAACATAAGAGTGTCTATTTAGAACAAAAAAATTTATATAAATACAAAAGTTTTTGAAAGTGTTACCTTAGAATTATTCACAATTATTTTTTTGTGCAAAATGTTCATTTTTCTCCCCTCTTTTTGAAATAGATTGCAGCTAGGTGTATAAAGTGGATGCGTATGTCCCTCATGGAATTGTGTCACCATGTATTTGTCATCATCACAATGCTTTAGTACCACGTGTGCTTTGCATCCAACACGGGTGACTAGTCTCTTCCTTGTGATTGAAGCCTTTTTTTATTGTT